CATTCCTCTTGCAGTCCTCCCTCTGACGCTCTACTCTGAGGTTGCTACCTCACATACTAAGCAGACTTTCCTGCCTCAGCAGGCCCTTTGGGGCAACCTGTCAAGAGAACTGGTGACAGCAGATGCTTTGATGAAGGACAGGCACTAAGGATTTGAGGAAACCAGGGATCGTACTTCAATACGTATATGCTGAGCAGAGGTATACTTTGGTCAACTTGGGGCTTAGAAAGATGATGGTGGCTTTGGTCTCATCAAAAAAGGAGAGCTTGTAGCTACTTGGGTGGCTGAGGCGGGAGGATCCTTTGAACTCAGGAGTTCAAAGCTGCAGTGAGCTATGACCGTGCCACTGCACTTCAGCCTGGGTGACAGAGCAAGACCCTGTCTCTAGAAAAAAAAGATTAAAAAAAATTTTTTTTAAAAAGAGGGTTTGAGCTACAGGCAGCAAATATTTGCAAAAAAAAAGAGATCAGGGCTATTTCAGTGAAAAGATACTTCAGAAGTGGTGATTTCAAGGAGTTTCTACTAATTATACTTCTATGTTTATAAGCTGTCAGGAAAAAAAGCTATTGCAATTTCAGGTTCCATTAATAGGCATCTAGTGTCTAATGACAGAAAGTAACAGAAATATTAGTGTTTTTCACTAGTTAGACAATATCTGGAATGTTGTATTCAGTTCTCAGCTCCACATCAGCTAACTAGAGATCATCCACAAAGGTTACCAACTAGGAATGCTGGCAGGTCTAGCTCTGCAGGAATAAAAAATGTTTTACCTAGAAAAGAGCAGACTCACACTATTAGAAAGGCTCTCTTACAGAAGCACAGATTCAGTACATGCTGCTTCAAAAACAAGGCCAGCATCGGTGGTGAAATTCAAAGGAAGGCATCCTTCATAAAGGAGAAGCTGCTAGGCCAGGCATGGTGGCTCACACCTGCAATCCTAGCACTCTGGGAGGCCAAGGCGGGGGATCACTTGAGGTCAGGAGTTCAAGACCAGCCTGAGCAAGAGCGAGACCCTGTCTCTACTAAAAATAGAAAAAATTAGCCAGGCGTAGTGGTGTATGCCGGTTGTCCCAGCTACTCGGGAGGCTGAAGCAGGAGGATTGCTTGAGCCCAGGAGTTTGAGGTTGCTATTAGATAGGGTGACACAACGGCGCTCTAGTCCAGGCAATAGAGTGAGACTCTATCTCAAAAAAAAAAGGAGAAGCTGCTAATATAGAATTTTTAAGTCTGCAAAGGATAAAGCTCATGAAGCAGTAAGACCCCCATGACTATAGATATTTATTCTCCAAACTCTTATAATCTGTACCACTGAAAACTCTCCTGAGTATTATATTATTCCTGGAGTCCCAACAACCTGCATAACTTACTCATCCATCAACTCTTAGTTTAAATGTTCTTCCTTCAACAGGACTTTCTGGGCTCCCAGATAAGTTAGGTGTGGGTATTAAGTGCTCCCAAGCATTCTGTCGTTTAATTATGTTTCTTCTCTAATATATTTATGTTCCATGAGGACAAGTGACCATGTATTTCCAATGTCCAGCAAAGAAACTGGCATACAGTTATCTGTGAATGAATGATGACCACTAATGAGGAATGCTGCAGAAAGAAATCTTACAATGGGCAGGAGTCTGGACCACATTAATTCTCAGGCACCTCCATTTACATGACTTTGGTCTAATCTAAGATCTACATAGCATTTCTGGTAGTAAGAATCTATGTCAAATTTGTGGTAAACTAGAGCTACATGCCTTTTTCACGGACAATATTCTATACTTGTGAAATTGATTTAACCCACTATAAGACTTTACATTTAAAAGGAATTCACTTAATCTAAATATTTGGGTATATTCACAAGGTGGAAGATTAAACAGCCTGTTTACTCTGGGAAGATGGAGCAGGTGTACTTTTTCCCTACTCCTCCTGCTAAGTACAAATAAAATCCAAGACATTATACATAAAACATACACTAAAAAACCTCTGGAAGGTGACAATGAGGCAGTAGATAAGCAAGAGACCTTAAGACCCAAGGAAGGATGTGATGGTGAGTTCCCTGACTTTTCTTTTGCTTTGTATATCCAAGACTTGGAGCTGAAGAAGTACAATCAAAAATGCCAACAGGTGCAGAAAAAAGCCCTGATAAAAGCCAGATCTCTCTAGGCAAAGGACAAGGAGAGGGGCAGCTTAGCAAGATAAAAAAAAACTTTAGACTATAACCACTCTATTCCAGCCAAATACTTCAGAAAAAAACTGTCTCCTCATCCCCGCTCACTCCATCAAAGGCTCACTAGAAATTTTAGAACTAAAGAATAATGGAAATAAAAAGCTTAGAGGTTGGGCTCAACAGCAAAATAGAAGGGGCAATAGGACAGAATTAGTGAACTATTATAGAAGGCAGAATAACAAAAATTACCCAATCTAAAAATCAGAGAGAAAAAAAAGACTTGGAAAAAAAAAAAAAGAACCAAGCCTTAGCCTGTCCAACTTAGCCTGTTGTACTAGAACAAAAGATCAGAATCCAGAAAGGAGAGGAGAAACAAGGGGAGGCTAAAAAAGTATTCAAAGAAATAATGGCTTGAAAAAATTTTTAAAGTAGCAAGAGATACAGATTAAACCTACAGATTTAAGCAGCTGAGAAAATCCCAAACAGGATAAACCCAAAGAAATTCAAGCCAACACATACCAACCTCTAAAAACTAAAGACAAAGAAAACATCTTGAAAGCAGCCAGAGAAAAAGACACTTCTCCTATGGGAGAAAAAAAAAACATTCCAAATGACAGCAGATTTATCATCGGAAGCTATGGAGGCCAAAGAGAAGAGGCACAATATTTTTCAAGTACTCAGAGAAAAGAACCAACCCAGAAGCCTATACCCAGCAAAAATATTCTTCAGGAATGCAGGGGAAATCAAGACATTCTCAATCAAGCTCAATCAAGGAAAACTAAGAAAATCTGTCCCCAGCAGACCTACTCTAAAGAATGGCTAAAGCAAGTTCTCTAAACAGAAAGGAAATGGTAAGAGAAGGAACCTTGAAACATTAGGAAGGACAAAAGAACAGAGTAAACAAAGTGAATATGCTTTCCTTCCCTCAAGTTTTCTAAATTTGCTTAGAAATCTGTTTGATAGTTGAAACAAAAATTAAACACTGTCTAATATGATTCTAAATGTGTGCAGAGAAACTATTTAAAACAATTATATTATAAATGGGGAATGATAAAGGGACTAAGAGGAGGAAAGGTTTCTATACAACAAATTTTAAAAATGATAACACCAGTAGAATGTGATGTTATATAAAGTAATAACTAGAGCATCTACTGAAAAAGCTATACTGAGAGATTTATTCAAAAACACTATAGACAAATCAAAATGGAATTCAAAAAGTGTTCAAGTAACCCACAGGAAGGCAGGAAAAAGCAAGCTGAGAAACAAAAAACAGAGAATTAAACAGAAAACAAAAAATAAAATGGTAGGCTTAACTCCTGATGTAATGATTATATTAAATGTAAGTGACCTAAATATACCAATTATAAAACAGAAATTGCCGTAATAGATTTAAAAAGGTGATCCAACTATCTGTCATCTACAAGTCACTTCAAATATAATAATATAAGCAGGTAGAAAGTAAAAGGATAGAAAAAGATATATCATGCAAACACCAATCAAAGGAAAGCAAAAGTGACCATATTAGTATCACATAAAGTAGATATCAGAGCAAAGAAATTGATCAGAGATAGAGAGGAACACTATATAATGATTAAATTATAGAATGAAGACATGGCAATCCTAAATGTGTATGTACCAAACAAAAGAGTTGCAAAATATGTGAAGCAAAAAGTGATAGGACTTAAAGGAGAAACACACACATCCACAATTATAGTCTGAAACATCAACACCCTCTGTCAGCAATTGCTAGGCCAATTAAACAGAAAATCAGCAAGGCTACAGAAGAACACAACATCATCATTGACCAAAAGGATATAATAGATATTTATAAAACACTCCATCAACAACAGCAGAATACACTTTCTTTTCAAGTGTCCACAGAACATATATCAAGATAGACCATATCCTGAGCCATGAAACAAACCTTAACAAGTGAATTAGAACTGTAGAGTGTGTGTTCTCTGACCACAATGAAATCAAACTAGAAATCAGTAACAGACAAATAACAGGAAAATCTGCAAACACTTGAAAATTAAACAACAATCTCAAGGGAAATTTAAAAAAATATATTGAACTGAATGAAAATGAAAATATATCAAAATTTGTAGGACACACTTAAAGCAGTTCTGAGAGGGGAATATGTAGCATTAAATGTATGTATTAGAAAAGAAAAAAGTCTCAAATCAATAATCTAAGCTCCCACCTCAAGAACTTGGAACAAAAAGAGCAAAATAATCCTAAAGCAAGCAGAGGAAGGAAATAATAAAGAGAAGAGCAGAAGTGCAACAGCCAAACTATAGAAAAGAGCAAACAGCCTCCTCAGGGAAAATGAAAAAGCCCAAGAAGGAAAAACAAAAAGAATGGCTATGAAATTCACTTTGGGATTATTTAGGATTTATAAGCAGGCCAAAGTAAACTATGTGGGGTTGCTTTAGCTTTTTCTGGAGAAAGAAGACACATGACTAGGAGTGAACAGGAAAGATCACTCTAGTACCCTACTGTGAAAGAAGTTACATCACTAAGTTCTTAAGCCCAAGTATAAATGTAATTATTCTTTCACATTTTGGACTAAAGTATGAAGTAAAAAGCAAAAGACCTCTGAAAGTTAAAATGTCTTATCTAAGTGTTTGAAACATTAGCAATGAAATTTCCTATCCCTGTTTCGGGGGATAGCATGCAAGATCAACAGGTTATCTATGAAGACTCAGAAGGTAAGCCATAATCATGAGCTAAATTTACCTAATTTTACACATAGTTTGAATATTGGTTGTTTCAGATAATTCTGGATCTTTTCCCAAAATCACCAATAATATTGGTTTTTTCAAAAAGTCTTTCTTACCTCATAGAAGAAGGGATGTCCAGCCATATCAAAGATGTTAACTTTGATTTCTCTGTCTCTGACTTGTACCCTGAAATGTTCAAATGCAAACAATCCCAAAAAGGTCATGGTTTCTACATTCACATTAGTAACATTTATATCATTTAGGAATTTCAAAAGGGTATGTGTGTGATATTTAAAAACGACTTTCTTAGTGCCTTTTCTTGATCCCAGACAATCTTTACAATAGCAGCCAGCATCCTGGCAGATGACCCTGCTTCCTTATTTCAAGAACACTGAACCCACTTGGAGTAGGTACCCCCATTTACTCTCACCTTCACCTCAAGATACTTCAAGCCACAAATGGTAGCTATTACTATGGCATTAGGAAAAATTGATTTGGAATAAGTAGGAGCAAGACAAAGGAAAACAAAGTTTTATTTCACTTAGTCAGAGACATCTTAACTACTACCAGGGGTTACCGAGCAGTAGAATAGCAAACATGTTTGTTAATGATGTCTGAATTTTCTTGTGATCTTTATTTGAGCAAAAGCAATAGTCAATTTGTTTTCAGAAATTTAAAAATAAAGAACAAAAGGGGAAACAATAACCATTCATATGAGAATTAACTACTGTTAACATTATGGCATATTTGTTTCTCATCTATTTTTTTTTTTTTTTTTTTTTTTGAGACAGAGTCTCGCTTTGTTGCCCAGGCTAGTGTGAGTGCCGTGGCGTCAGCCTAGCTCACAGCAACCTCAAACTCCTGGCTCGAGCGATCCTTCTGTCTCAGCCTCCCGAGTAGCTGGGACTACAGGCATGCGCCACCATGCCCGGCTAATTTTTAATATATATATCAGTTGGCCAATTAGTTTCTTTCTATTTATAGTAGAGACGGGGTCTCGCTCTTGCTCAGGCTGGTTTTGAACTCCTGACCTTGAGCAATCCGCCCGCCTCGGCCTCCCAGAGAGCTAGGATTACAGGCGTGAGCCACCGCGCCCGGCCCTCATCTATTTTTTAAAGAAAAATCACTACTGAAAAATAATTAATGAATATTATAAATAATTCAAACACTAAAGAAAAATACAAAGAACTACAAAAAAAACCAAAGAAAAACATTTAAAAGTTATTCCAAACCCTAACATCTAGAATAACTTTCATTAATATAGATGAACATCACTGCAGATTTTTCTATGCATAGATAAAATTGATAAACAAATATCCTTATAAAAATGGGATTATACTATTTTAAAATAAAAAATATAAAATTTACTTTTTTATTGAATTTAACAAAAGAAGAAGAAACTGAAGTGAACTGGGAGAATTACTGAACTTTAAATACAAATGTTTCCTCAACATAAGAAATATTTCCTAAAATATCCCTCCTAAAGTTAAGAATAGAGACTATTAACAATAAATTAACAGATTAGAGTCATTATGTTTTATAAGTAACATGTTTCAGGTTTAGACAGCATTGATATGACTCCTGGTATGGAAGACACAGAGCACATCAGCACGTGCATGTCTCACTGTCCCTATACTATCTCTGAGTTTATTTATTATTATTCCCTGTTTATAGCATTCATTTTCTGTTCTGAAATCATAATTACTACAGTTATTTCATATTACTTCTATGTTTAAATCAAGCTAAACATTAATCATCTTATGATTTCTTCATTACTGAGTTATCTGCCATATTTCATCAATTGTAAGGTACATATTTGTTTTCATTTTAACATCTGTAAAATCAGAGAGAGTATGAGAAAAGCAAAGCAAAACAAAATAATAACAGAACTTGAGAACATGTGGAGAAGATCTGGTCTAATAATTTACAGTAAAAAAATTTACCTTAAAAAGACAGCTGATGGAACCTAGAAAGTCTATAAAGTCAGGAAATAACGCAAATATGTTCACATGTTGAAAACCAAAAGTCAATTTAATTCAGAAGCCAGACAGAGGAAATTACTTAAAGAAAAATGGTAATTTCTTAAATCAGTGCTGTCTTAAGTGTGGTCTGAAGACCATCTGCATCATAATTATTGGGAGGGGTGTTATCGAAAATGCAGATCCCTGTGCCCCACCTCAAACCCAGTAAATCAAAATGTTAGAGGGTGGGCTACAGTAATCCGCATTTTTACAAATGCTACAAGTAATTTTAAACACACTGAAATCTGAGGTTTACCATATTTAAAGCAAAAAGACTGGAATGGATATTTATTGTTTTGACTTTACAAAACAGCACACCCTCTTCCTTCTCTTAATTGTGGTTCATAGGGCTTCTGCCATCTTATGGATCCCACTGTTAGCCACAGCTGATCTGGGGAAAGGTACCAGTCCCCACTTGGGCTAATCAAAATTTTCCCTGGGGCTTCTAAATGTAGGATATTAGTTTTAGTCCAGCTCTAGAAGTAAAGTTAAAAGTGTGAGTGTCAGAACTGCTGGCAGCTGTGTAGAGGAAGCCCACTTAAAAGACTGAAGCCAACAGGTACAGAGGGAGACAGATGTAATCAAATGACCTGTCTGTATTCTGTACTGGTTCTAGCCATCTCTGATGCCCAGCTGCATCATCCTTGTAATTGGATTACATGAATTGATTGATATCCTTTTTCTTTTATTTTGCTTGAGTTGGTTTGAATAGGTTTCTGTCAATTTTATCCTCCTGATTCATCAGGGGACAACCATCTTTTCCAACAAATTTCAGCCAGAAACAGAATATTCTGTTGAATAAACCACAGACAGTCCTATGACATAATATGTTCTTATTTCTTAATAAATAAACTAGCTACTTATATGAATTCAAAACAAAACTGCCTTAAATAGAATATCCTACCACAACATTGTTGAAATCCTATGCCTTGAAGTAGAAAGAGAAAAGGAAAACTAGAAAGAAAGAAATGTAGATTTCAAATGAAGAACTTCATATATTTCATTGCCAAGAGCTCCAATTTTCATTCTTCAAAGAAAACTTGCAAAAATACAGTTGAAAAATGATACTATAATAGTATTACATAGAACTCTTGGGTTTTTTTACTTTACCACATACTTGAGCCCCTTTGATTACAGTCATGAAAGACGCACCTGAACTTGACTCTGCCCTTCACATAATTGACAATCTGCTAGATACACCCCACCACTTTGGTCTACCTTCCTGAATATTGCCCTCATATTCTAATCTGGCAAATCTGCTCTCTAGATGTAAGCATCTTACCTAACCATATACATGTGTTGAGTATCTACTAGACATAAGCACTATGCCAAGCACTTGGAGAAACTTTATACTAACAGGGAGTTTATAATCTAGCAGGAGATATTAAACATATACAAATAATAATTATACTGAAAGCAATTTATGATAAGTACCATAAATAGCATCAAGAACTTTAACATTTTTTTTTTTGAGACATAGTCTCGCTTTGTTGCCCAGGCTAGAGTGAGTGCCGTGGCGTCAGCCTGGCTCACAGCAACCTCAAACTCCTGGGCTCAGCAATCCTACTGCCTCAGCCTCCCAAGTGGCTGGGACTACAGGCATGCGCCACCATGCCCAGCTAATTTTTTATATATATATTTTTAGTTGGTCAATTAATTTCTTTCTATTTTTGGTAGAGACGGGGTCTCGCTCAGGCTGGTTTCGAACTCCTGACCTTGAGCAATCCGCCCGCCTCAGCCTCCCAAAGTGCTAGGATTACAGGCGTGAGCCACTGCGCCCAGCCTAAGAACTTTAACATTTCTGTCATTTGCAACCAAAGAGTCCTGACTAATAGAGGGGGTGTTCAGAAGGCCTCATGGGAACAGTAGAATTTTAGACCTTGAAGAGCTTGGCAGGTGGAGAGATGAGGGGAAGGCACATTCCAAGTGGACAGAATGAATAATGGCACTGAGATAGGAAAGTATGAGGGCAGCAGTTCAGCGTGGATGGAGAGTAAAGTGTGTAATAAGAGAAGAGTGAGCACTAAAATTCCATGTTTAAGGAGTGTGCTATCTACCCCAATTCTACTCTATGGTTATTTCCTGCTAATTGAATCCTAGCTCCCAAGCTTCATCACCCACTCTTGATTCACCTCCACATAAATTCCCAATTAGACCCAACTTTACTCTTCCCAGATCATTTACACTGGATTCCAATAGACTATGAAGATCATAAACCAATAAGGGAAGTTTTCTGATTGAAAATTTTCCACATATTTAGAATTTTTAGAGAGAATATTTTAAAATGCTCTAAAAACACACCTGCTGATAAGACCTACTTAAATAGAAACATATTTTCTGAAAAGCTACATATGTCAGTTAGGCTTTGTGTTGGCATTCATCCTTGTAGACTCTACACCCAACACAAGGCCTGGTGAATGGAATGTGCTCAGTACATGGACTGAATGAAGGAATGATATGATCACTACATACCTGTCAAGGTCTCTTAATCCTATCTTTCCCAATTTATCTTTAAGCCTCTATTTCAAGATTATCTGTGTAAGTGCACTGATGCAAATATAGATCATTTTAGAAAGAGTTCTGAATTCCTGTGTAATTTACAAGCCCAGGGAAACAATATACTCACTTTGTGACTCCATAGTCAATTCCAATTGTTGCCAGGTATTTAGACACAAATCTCTTCTCACAGTATCGCTTTATAATACAGCTCTAAAAACGTAAAACACAGGCATTTAGTAAATACACATTGGGGAACACACATAAAATTAGTATATTTCTTCATTCACCACTATGAAAAAGCATTTTGAAAAGTCAAAACTATAAAATAACTAAAAGAAAGGCTAAAAGCAAAGATTTTAAAGAAAAATTATTTTAAAATTCTTCTCCTACTATTAAATAGAGATATATTATCAGTATAGTTCACAATACTGTGCTCTTTTCTTTTAAAGACCTCTTCTATTCTTACACTTTCGATGATACCACCAAAATATCTGTCTAACCTTGACCTCACTCCCAAGACCAGACCCAAATCTCCAAATATCTATTAGACTAGTTTCTACTTAGATGTCCTGCTGTTACCTCCAATTCAACATGTCCAAATATGAACAAGAAAGCAACTCACCCTGCTGATATCCTAGTTCTGTTAATAATACTACCATTTTCCCAATCACAAAGGATCCAATTATTGAAGTCATATTTGATTCTGATCCTTTCTAAATCATCTTTTGAATGTTTTTTCCATTTTTCCTTTCATTCCAATTCCAATTGATAGCACTTTGATTTAGGTCTTCATCATTTACTCCTAGACAACTATAGGAAATTCATTATTGGTCTTTCTGCCTCCTTCCCCTCCCAACTTCAATCAACACTGCACACCATTATTTCACTTCCCTAACTCAAAAATCTTCAGCAGCTTCTCTTTGCCAAGAGTTTGTAATCCAAATTTCTTTGTCCTTTATTCAAGGTCCTCCATAATCTAGCCCTAATCTATCTTCTGTGTCTAAACTTTTCTGTATAAATTCTCCATTTCTACAAAACTCCCAGGACCCACAACTTCCTGACTTTTGTTATTTCTTTTCTCTCTATTTGTAATCAGCTTTCTCTTTTCTTTCCAAATCTTACTTATCTTTAAGGCCCAGATCAAATTCTGAGCACCCAGATTAAAAGTGATCTTGCCTGCATTTAAACTCTTCCATGTGTGTATGCCATGCATCTGAACTCCTCTAGCACTTTACATGTATACTATTATATATACCACACACATACATGCACACACCACACTATGTATTTTCCATTAGTCATATATTGCCTGGTATTGTCAGTTATTTTTTTCTCTTCTGCTAGACAATAAACTACTTTAGGCATGCATCAGTATTTTACTACCTTATAGCTCTTGCAGCAACAATTAATAGCTCAGTGTCTTTCAGAAAGCAGGGATTTGATAATTACTAAATAAACATAAGTAAGCATCAATCAATTTAAGAGAAGCTTGGACTCTTTCTGATTTTGAATGGTAAAGAAAAACCAATTCTAAAGGACTTATATATTAATAACAATTCTTAGAACTCATGTAACTTATAATTCATTTGAAATGCCTATAATGGAGTTTATTTTGTTCAAATCCTTTCCTGATGAGCCTGGATCTAAATTAATTAGACAGCATAGTTCATTTAAAAAGTATTTAGTAAGTTCATTGTGAATTGAAGGAAAAACTTCTTTGGACTGACTACTGCTAAGAGGCTACATTTTTAAAAACACTTTATAGCTTGAAAATACTTCTCAAAATGTTTTCTCTTATAATATCATAGAAAAATAAAGCCTTTAAAAAATTTTACATAAGATTAAGGGACCTGGAAGTCCTTTGACTCTGGTATGCTAACTAAACTGCTTATGAAGATACACATTTAAGTAATAGTATTAATAACCAGTTCCTATAACACAAAGAGATAGAGTGCCTGTTCCTTAGGATCTTACAAGTTAAAGTAAATAACAAATACAGAGGTAACAGATGAAATTAAATGAATACAAAACTAGACTAACTTAATATTAACTATGCAGGCAATTTGATTTACTTAAATACATCTTTCAAATATAGAATACTGATAATGAATACTGACAGCATTCAAATGTTGGAAATAAACATATGGTATTAATCAACAAAATAAAAGCATAAAATGGAAAGGTAAGCTGATAAGACATAGATAGTGATTTGAGCTGTTGGATTAAAAACAAAATAATCTTTTTCTGAACCTACACAAAAAAATACATATTCATGCATTTAACAAACAGGTGAGTTTGTAACCCATGCTAGACAGTGTGTTAAGTGCTGGGATATGAAAGCAGGATCAAGTTTTTATAATTTATTGGAAAAGAGAGGAACTAAATAATTATAAAACTAAGTCTTTACAATTGTGATAGTGCTCTAAAAATTATAAGAGGTAATATAATAATAGCCTAACATTTTACTTTTCAATGAGCTTAGAAATATATGTACTAAAAATGGCATTTTATCTGAGTGAGATTAAAAACACATCTCTTTCCACACAAAAACTTCTACATGCTCACATTAGCACTATCCATAATAACCAAAAAAGTAAAAACAAGCCAAATGTTCATCAACTGATAAATGGATTAAAAAAATGTAGTATATCCATACAATGGGATATTATTCTGCAATGTGAAGAAAGGAAGTACTGATACATGCTACAACTTGGATGAACCTTGAAAATACGCTAAGTCACAAAGGACTATATACATAGTACATGATTCCATTTACATGAAATGTCCAGAATAGGCAAATCCCTAGAGACAGAAGGTAGATGAGCGGTTGCCTCAGGTTGGGGATTTGGGGATAATGGGGACAGACTGCTAATTGGATGGGATTTTGGCGGGGATGATAAAAATGTTCTATAATTGATTGTGGTGACAGTTGCGGAATTCTGTGAATGTACTAAAAACCAGTGAATTGTACATTTTAAATAGGTGAATTGTATATGAATTATATCTCAATGAAGCTTTTATTTTTTTTAAAGATCCCCTGGGAAGAAAAAGGGGCTTCCTAAGGGCTTAACCCCCTGTATGGCGGAATCTTGAGATTTCTGTGTGGTCTTTGTTTATATCCAACTCAACTTTCTGCATTGGCAGTCAACAAACCCCAAAGCCTCAAGCCAGTTTTCAATGTCTTCTAGAATATGAAGTTTCCTAACATGGTCATTTACCATTGACCTCATGTTTCTTTTTCCATACCATGTTAATTCTGAGATAATATATTCAGAAATAGGACAGGTGCGGTGGCTCACACCTGTAATCCTAGCACTCTGGGAGGCCGAGGCGGCGGATTACTTGAGGTCAGGAATTCGAAACCAGCCTGAGCAAGAGTGAGATCCCGTCTCTAATATAAATAGAAAGAAATTAATTGGCCAACTAATTATATATAGAAAAAAAAATTAGCCGGGCATGGTGGCACATGCCTGTGGTCCCAGCTAATTGGGAGGCTGAGGCAGGAGGATTGCTTGAGTCCAGGAGATTGAGGTTGCTGTGAGCTAGGCTGACACCACAGCACTCACTCTAGCCTGGGCAACAAAGTGAGACACTATCTCAAAAAAATAAAAAAAATAAAATATATATATATATATTCAGAAATAATGATAATCAGAAATGTTTACAGCTTTATCCAACCTATTAAACATGCTTTTAAAAACTGAACAAGTTTTACCTCAATAGAAAATCAAATTTTAGGATAGAAGCTTGAGTTTTTACAAAGAAGTACTCTGTCTAAAGGTTTCTGAGATAAATCTCTAAGGCTAGGGGTGAAATTCCCAATATGGGGCCACACTTGATATGAAATTCTCTCTCTCTCTGTCTCCCCCAACTGTGTTCAAGAGTCTAATGAGACTTCGGCAGAAAGAAACAAAATTAGCCATGATCCACAAAAAGATGAACAGAGGGCATATGAGCTTATTGTAAAAAATATCCAAATTATACAGAAATGTATATAGAAATGTTAAAAAACTCTTGAATCCCATCACTCTGAAATAATTATCAGTAACAGGTTTGTGACCACCTTTTCAAACATTTCTTTATATATTAGGTTAAATCATATTAAACCACCATTTTTAAGGTTAAAAACTTAAAATATCAATTTCATATGGTTCAATCTATTGTATGTATGTTTGATTTTACATTGGTAGAAACATACTATGCAAACTGTTTCATGGGTACCCTTTTCTTTCTCTCCAATCTTTTGTTTATCTCTTCTCAACTTCTCTATTCCACTTCCCAAGATGACACTGACACAAATCTTTCTTCTTGCTGTAAAAAACTTGGTTTACGCATGGCTTATGGAATAGAAAAGTCACTTTTCCACCCAAGGGATGTGAAAATGAAAGCAAGATGCACCAGTTCCTGCTGGAAATAATTTTTTTGACAGTTGGAAATCAGCCTTAGGATAAAGCCAATAACGCTGTGCACACAAGGAATGAGAGAATGGACCTGGCTCCTTAATGACATCACTGAATCGTTACTTTCAACCAACTCTGAAGCTTGCCCTATTTCTAGATTTCCAATTACAATAAATATTTTCCTATTAAATCAATTGAATTGGGTTTCTCCTACTTGCAGTCAAAAGTATCCACCTCATACAGTATTGTATATATTTCTGTTGTTTGTTTTTCTCTCATAACAATAATTGATTATGATAATCCTTCCAACTTAACTGGAATAACTCTACTCACCTTTTTCATGGCTACTTAATAGTTCACAATGTACAGGTTTTCCTTGCTTTTCATTGCTTGCTAGTCACTTTGTCATTTGTTTTGATTTACTTTTTGATCTAAGGATTATTTACTAGAGCACCCCTTAATTTTTAACTTTACCTGTATATCATCGTATATTTTCCAAACTCTTTAAAAAGAGTATGTTCTACTTTTATAATTAAGGCAAAATAAGTTTTTTAGAAGTTACACTTAAATCTTTTATCCATCTAGGATTTATTTTTCAGAAAGGAATGCAACAGGAATGCACCCTACCCAAGTAGTAACCATTTATTCCATAGTACTTAATAAATAGTCTCTACTTTCCCATGATTTTACATTTGTTGTAAATTGAATTTCCTTATATGTCTGGGTTTATTTCTAGACTATATTGTGTTCCACTGATATCATGATATTTCCTTTCCAATACCAATAGGACAAGTTTAGTAACCTGAAAATAATTAAAAATATCTAGTAGAGTTAGTCTTCTCTCATTTTTCTTTTCTCCCCACAATTTTCTTGGTTATTCTCACATGGGTTTTTCATAATGACTTTAGTAACTTTTTATTATGCTTTCAAAAAAACCTTATTGGTGTTTTAACTGGAATTGAATTACATTTGTAGATTATTTTAAATAATTGATAGCTCTACAATATTGAGTGATCCTATCTAAGGGAAAAGTATATCTTCCCATTTGCCTAAGTAATTTTATGTCCCATCATAGAGTTTGAAATTTTTCTTCATATAGGTTGTACCTATTTCATGTTAAGTTTAAACCTAGGTACTTTATTTTGGTTGTTATAAATTAAAATTATTTTTCAATTATGTATTCCAATTTATAATTTGGATATAATAAAGCTATTAATTTATGTGTATTAATTTTGCATTATTGAATATTCTTATTGTTTCTAATAGTTTTTCAGTTAATTCTCTTTGGGTTTCCAGGTAAACAATAGCATCATTAGCAAATAATGATAATTTTGCCTTCTCCTTTCTAATATTTTACATTTTATTTCTTTTTCTTATCCAACTGAATTGACTAATAAATCTAGAACAGTGTTAAATAAACGTGACCATGGTCATTTTGAGCCACTTCTAGTGTTGCGCCATTAGGCATAGTAAAATTACAAAAGTGAGACATGCCCACTTAACAGTTTAGTATATAATCTAGAGGCTTTTTCTTTTAACACTTGGCACACAGCTGACATTCAACAAATGTGCACTTTCAGTGAATGCTATACTAATAAGTACAGATATTTTAGCATAGGATCATACTAAATACAAACAAAAAACATTAATAAATATTTACTGAGCATCTTTTGTGTGCAGGGTACTGGCCTAACTACTCGCGTTAACATCTCTTTCCCATTTAGGCACTAGCTGGATTGATTTGACAGCATACAATGATGGAAAGAGCACTGTAATGGGTGTGTGAAGACTCAGGTTCTAATCCTGTCTCTGTCACTGATTTGATGACCTTGGGAGGTTCTTGACCAGCAGCTTCCACTTACTCAGGAGAATTTGGATGAAAAGGAGGCAGTCTTAGAATTCAGTTGGGGAAAGACCTGGGTCATCTCTGGCCCCCTGGCCCACCATACTAACAGAGGGTTTATAGCTGATACCCAAGAGATGGAGCAGACAGAAAGGCGGTGGAACTAAGGCTTCTTTGAGAGAATGGGTGTGGGAACACTACCAGAAATAAAAAGCAAAACAAAATAACTCAGGATCCTCGCCATCCATTGCACCTCCCCTATGAAACGTCAGCTTCAGGTACGCTCTCTTAGGATGGGAATGTAGATTCCGGGCAGCTGAGCACCATCCCACTAATCTCAAATCCTCACACGCGCCCCATGAAGTTCCATCGCCTTCCAAACACTGCTGGGGGTAACTAAACTTTTACTCTCCCCCTCTAGGTCCTGAACGGGCCATCCAGAACACAGATGTGGTATGTAAGCCGACGACCCGACGTTAGGACCTAGGCCTCCTTACGCTCTTTGGAGTATATTTAGGGGTTAGAGGCCATCCCCGACACCTTCCGGAGAGTGACGTCAGTGGAGGAGGGGGCAACACAAAGGTCAGACAGGTTGGATAGTTCTCCTCGCGGAGCCGCACCCGCTTTGAGAAGACCTGGGCCTGTTCGGGGGCGGGGAGGAGGCTGGGCCCCAGGCTGTTGAGTGGCCGCCCTTCCAGCCAATGGGCATGTCGCACCGCCGCGCGGAGTCCCGCCCCTCCCGGCGCGCTGTACTCACTTTTCCCACTTCGGCGTTGCCCATGGAGATGACTTTGATGCGAAGGGACTTGCCAGGCTCCTTCCGCTTCGGCATGTTGGCCTCCATTGCCCTAGCTCTCTCGGGGCCACCCGCCTAGCTCTCTCCTTGTGCGCCGCTGGCCCGTCCCTCAGGCCTCCTCGTCCAATGGCGGAACCGCTGCTCTCGTCACTACCTCGGCTCCGCGGCTCGCCATCCCAGCCGCTGCCCCGCAGCAGGCGCGGGCGGTTGGGAGCGCCGGGAGCCGGGGGAGGGAGCCGGCAGTCTCGCGATGCTAGAGCCCGGCGGCTGACGTCATCACTCGTCCCCGGAGTCGAGGCTCGGGTTACCTGTTCTCTGGGGTCGCGCGACGAGCGTAGAACGTCTCCCTCGACAAGAAGGCGGTGTTGGGCTGTGGCAGGGTTTACGCTTTGTGGAGAGCGCGGTCTTGTTTTCAGGGGTGCAAGGACAGGGCATTTGCTGCATTCGCAGCCGAGTGGTCGATATTTGTTGGCTGTTCGGGGCAGGTCTGGTAGCATCTGGAATTATGAGTTAGATCAAGGCCCAGCCACACCACAGTCCGTTTGGGGGTGTTTTTTTCTGTATTCTTCTTTGGTCCCTTGGGCCCGTCTGCTGCCGCTCTCCCCCTCCAATATTGTGTTCCTGTTGCTCGAGCTCCATGGGAGGCAGAGTCAAGAGCCAGGGAAGTGGGAAGTTGGACCCCTAGTTCTGTAAGAAAGCCTGGTTCTGTAAGAAACCAGACAGGAAACGACCATTTTCTAGTTTCTAAAATATGGAGTCAAGGAAAGGGTTTTAGTTTAGACTTGCTTCTTTATTACAGAGCTCTGACAGACTTGGGATTAGATGATTCATCTGTAGGAGGAAGGCCCAGACTACTGTAGTTGCTTCTTTAACATTCTTGTCCATCTCTGTCGAGGCGTATGATTGTAGCTGTAAGCGCCTTCATTTTCCTCTTCTGCCTGCTGCTCACATACACACTTAACCTTGTGTTTTGATCTCGCCTTCCCTTTAGCTAACAGCCTAACAGTAGAAGAATAATGAATGCTAAGTTAACCACTTTTCTTATTCCAGAGAATGAGAAAAACAGCTGTTTGAATAAAAGCCCGTCTGACAGGACAGAATTTTTTGGAGTCAATACCTTCAGTTACGGAAGATAAACAGAACTTGGCAATGATTATTTAGTGCCCTGAAAAAGAATTGCTGCCAATTTCCCAGTAAATTACAAAGGCAAAGGTAGCACTGCTTCTGCTCTCACATAGCTTTTAAACATAAAAGAAATACGTTACAGGAAGACAATGAAATAAAGGCTCAAAATTTCATAGTAGTTAAATCTGATTTTTAACATTTTAATTTTGAAACAAAGTTTTTAAAGAAAAAAGCTTATTCTAGATTATTTTCATAATCAACTAATATAAATGACAATTTGATGAAGCTTCTAGAATTCTTTTCAAATATGAAATATAAATCCTGATTAGAATGTTGATAGTTTAAAGCTTAAAAGAATTGGATTTATACTATGATTCTTCACAAATCCAGATGCTGACCTCTCAGTATGATTTAATAAATCACTAAACATCTAATTTTGATAGTTCGCCTTGGACCCTGTAATAGAACTGGTATTGTGGAAGAATAATTGCAAAATGTCAAATCTTCAACTGTTAGTTATGATTTGAGACTAACAGCAGCAGAACATGCCAAAGATTAAAATTTATTCTTTCATACTGGTATATTTCATATTTTAAATTACATAGCTCCATTTTCTACTACATGTATTAAATTAGTTTGGAATTAAAAAAGCAAGAAAGTTTTTTCTTTCCAGTCTTTGAATATAAAAAGAAGAAAGAGAAACATGAGTTGACTGTGTAGTATGGATCTGGGAGGTATAGTGTAAGCATGAGTTTTGGAGTCAGCTTTGTTATACTTTATGCTGGCGCAACATAGGCATGTGGCAGTGGCAAGGATTATCGGGGATATACACATGGAATACATGGTAATCTCTCGATAAACAGTACCTATATGCTTTCATTATGTTTTCAATTTTTATGTATTAAGAAAGATTTCTACGTATTTTAAATGTATATTTTTAAAGAGTAAATTGTGAAATATTTTGGACATACTTAAAAATATAAAGAATAATATAATGAATACCTGTGTATACACTACCCATTTAAGAAATAAAATACCACAGATACTGCTGTGTACCTTTCCATACTCTTTCTCTACAGAAGGTTGCAACTATCTGAATTGGTGCTTTAATTTCAAGGCATTTAAAATTGTTTTCTACATATGTATTTGCACCTTAATATGTAGTATTGCATTTCATCTTTCAAAATTCTTTATTTTGAAAGAATTTCACATAGAAAAGTTTCAAGAACAGTACACCCAAAAATCTTGTATATCCTTTGTCCAGATTCATCAATTGTTAACATTTTGCCCCATTTACTATATCAGTTGTGTTCACTATATATACATATATACACACATTATTTTCTAAATAATCTGAGGTAATTTACATATGTGTTTCATTCTCCATAAGTACTTCAATGTGTGTTTCCTAAGAACAAAGACTTTCTTCTGCATAGCAACAGTATATTTATCAAAATCAGGAAATGCAACATTTATACAGCATTATTATAAAATCCTCTGGTTCTCAAACTGTGCACTGAGATGACCCATAGCCCCACAGTGAATTCAAAGGGTGGGGGCGAAATATGTGTAGGATATTTGCATTCTATGCAAATGCAAACAAAATGAAATCTTAACTACAAAACTACCAGCTTGAAGTTGTCTACAGTTTTAACAATAGATGGCGCCATATTCACCGGATATGTTATATCTTGGAGAATCTGGGTGTTCCAAGGGGTGGTGATAAAAAGCAAATATAGTGCAAAAGTTGGTGTGGAACAGGATATGAGGTGGCCTTGTCCAATCTGATCGTAAGGTTTCAACAGGTGCAACATCTCATTAGTAAGTAATTACAGTTATTTATTATAAGAATGAAATAAAAATATTTTGCTTTCAATTTACATGTATTATTTTTTCAAATGGCTACTAAATTGTTAGGGCATAAATGCTTGATAAGTTGCTTGGACCTAGATACTCCTTTTGGCCAAAGGGCACTGTGAAAAAACTTACTGAGACACTAAATGCACTTGAACAAAGAAAATTTGGAAAACTTTGATCTAACCCATAGTTCACATTCAAATTTCACCATTTGTCCCAATAATGTTCTTTATACTTATGGTTGACTCAGTCAGCTGGTCTGGGGTCTAATCTAGGATCATTTAGTTGTCATGTATCTCTATTCTTCTTTAAACTGGAATGGCTCCTTAACTTTTTCTTTCAAGATAACAGTTATTTTTAGAATATCCCTCAATTTGTGTTTGTCTGGTGTGTTCTTATAATTAGATTCAGTTATGTTTGGCTGGAATACCACAGAAAATATGTCGTTTTTAGGGCATTATATCAGAAATCTGTGAAGTCAATTTGTTTTATTTATTAATGATGTTAACTTTAGTTAAGGTGGGGCTCATGAGTTTAATCTACAGTCAAGTGATTTTTTCCCTTTTTAATGAGTAATAATACATACACATACATGCATATAAATCTATGCATTAAAACATAGTTCATGATAATAATCCCAGTGCATTTTAGCTTAGCACAGTTCATTCTAGTTTTCTCCCTCTCTATAATTACAACTCCCTTCTTCCCTAGTGAGAAACCTGACTCCCATTATCCTCGATATATTTTCCCCTTTTGCTCAGTCCTTCACTACATTCAAAGTGGTTTCACAATTGCTAACCCACACCATTTCAAATAACAAAAGCCATTTGAACTAGAGGTCAATATTTGTTTACATCTCTTTTTGTCCAAAGCCGACAAATATAGTTTGTATAGTTTCATATAGTATAAGTATTATGTTCGAACATTAGTTGGTTTAGTCCTTTTTTCCCCCTCTTCAATCAATGTGGTTATGGTTTTCATTTGAAATACAATTAAGTTCATTTGTTTCTGTTTGTACTTTATTTTAGTTTTAGTTTTTTTCCCACCTCATGATTGTTGACTTTATTAATTTTTTGATTATGTAAAACATTAACAGTTTCAAAGTTAAAATTACACAAATTGGTACACTCAGATAAGTGTCAGTTTCACACCCACCCCCTTTCTGATCCTTTCCACCCATTCCCTTTTACCTCTTATGGGCAAAAAAATCACATTAGATTCTGGTTTATTCCTTCCTGTGCTTCTTTTTATAAAAAATAAGCAGTTACATGCATATTTTCTTATTTCTCCTTTCTTAACACAAATAGGTAAATGTGTGTGTGTGTATGCTTTTGAACTTCTGCACTTAACAATATATCCTGGAAAGCACCGCATATTAAAAGATCATACTCTGTTTTTTACAGCTACACAGTACAGTACCCCATTGTATGGATATACCATGTTTTTTTCAATCAATATATTTATGGGCATTTATGTATTTGCATGTTATTGTGGATATATCTCAAGGTAAATTTCTAAAAAGAATGGAATTACTGGATCAAAGGTAAATGTATATTTACTTTTGTTATGTATTGCCAAATTCTATAAGACAACATTTTGAGAATTTTTGCGTTAATATTCTTTTTTTTTTTTTTTTTTTGTTGCCCAGGTTAGAGTGAGTGCTGTGGCGTCAGCCTAGCTCATGGCAACCTCAAACTCCTGGGCTCAAGCAGTCCTTCTGCCTTAGCCTCCTGAGTAGCTGGGACTACAGGCATGTGCCACCATGCCCAGCTAATTTTTTCTATATATATATTAGTTGGCCAATTAATTTCTTTTCTATTTATGGTAGAGACGGGGGTCTCACTCTTGCTCAGGCTGGTTTAGAATTCCTGACCTCAAGCAATCCGCCCACCTCGGCCTCCCAGAGTGCTAGGATTATAGCCATGAACCACCGCACCTGGCCCAATATTCTTTTTTTTTTTTTTTTTTTTTGAGACAGAGTCTCACTTTGTTGCTCAGGCTAGAGTGAGTGCCGTGGCGTCAGCCTGGCTCACAGCAACCTCAGGGCTCAGCAATCCTACTGCCTCAGCCTCCCGAGTAGCTGGGACTACAGGTATGCACCACCATGCCCGGCTAATTTTTTGTATATATATTTTTAGTTGGTCAATTAATTTCTTTCTATTTTTGGTAGAGACGGGGTCTCGCTCAGGCTGGTTTCGAACTCCTGACCTTGAGCAATCCACCCGCCTCAGCCTCCCAAAGTGCTAGGATTACAGGCATGAGCCACCACGCCCGGCCA